TTTTGGACATGTCTGAGTCATTTCAAGTCAATTTGAACAAATTCTGAGTCAGTGGGACATTTTTGAGTCAGTTAGAAACGTTTTAAGTCATTTAGGATGTTCTTTGAGTCATGTAGGACTTTTTTTTAAGTCAAGTTGGACAAAGTTTGGATCATTTGGGAGAACTTCAAGGATTTGGGATGTTTTTGTTTAAGTCATTTTGAACAAGTTTCAAATCGATTTGGACCAATTTTGAGTCATTTATGACATTTCTGGGCCATTTTTAAGTAATTCAGGACGTGTTTAAAGTTGTTTGGATATTTCTGAGTTATTCTGGACAAGTTTCAAGTCAAGTTGGAGTCGTATGGAACATTTTTTATTCATTTGAGCCGTATTATGATGTCAGGAGGTAATTTGCTGCCTGTTCTAAAATGAGATTTAATTTTGTCTTCTTGTTTCCACAGAAACTCTCCCAGCTTCAGGTCCTTCGAGGAGAAAGTCGAGACGACAGTTTCTACTATTAAGGTGAACACAGTTTGTGTTATTGCTCAACGTGTTGGTTTCTCACTGTCATTTCTGTGTGTTTGTTGTGATTTTGAATGTTTTTGTGGTGGTTTTCACCATTTTTATGATGATTTCATGAGTTTTTGTGGCGTGTCGGCCTGTTTTTGTTGAGATTTCACGTGTTTTAGTTTTAATTTGAAACCTTTTTAGGATGATTTTGTGTCTTTTTTAGTTGTTTTTTACTCTGTAATACTGGATTTGCGACTTTTCCTGGTGAACTGTCCTGTTTCAGTTGTGATTTCAAACCTTTTTAAGGTGATTTTGCATCTTTTTGTGGTGGTTTGCACTTTAAATGATGATTTTGTGACCTTTTGTGGCGTGTCGGCCTGTTTTTGTTGTGACTTCACGTGTTTTTGTGGTGATTTTGCATCTTTTCTCTTCCTGCTCGCCTTATTAGCCTAAATTAGTTCTAAACCAACATAAAAACCTCGTGTTTGCAGCACATTAAACCTGTGACCTGGTTATTATTAGCTGAAGTGATGATTTCTCCGTATGAAGCTGAACCATCGATCTGGACTCTACAGACGTACAGATCTCCACCAAACACAGAACCAGAGACGCAGACAGAAGCTGCTGCTGCCTCCAGAGTGACGCTGAAGAACAAAACACTGTAATCAGTTTGTAATTACGAGCTTCACACTGCGGCTGCGACTCGCTGGTTATTTATATTCACTGATAACAGTGTCGGCAGGAGAACGCTGAGCTCTGATTTAAGAGTTTAAACCCGACGAGGACGAGTCGACGCTAACTTCTTCTCTGTGTTTGGCTTTTAACCCTCTCAACGCCGAACAGTTCAGTTTGTTGGTTTTGAATATTTATTCTACAAAAACTGGAACCAACACTCCAACCTGAGGCTCTACATCCTACAGATGTTTAACTATTTACATTTTTACAGCCTTGGACGACGGTTTTGCTCCGTTTTAGTTGTTTTGGGATCTGTTTTTAGCGGCTTAATGTGTCTCTGTTGGACAGTTTTGCCTCTTTGTCGACGTTTTCTGTCTCGTTTTTGCTGTTTTCTGTCCTGCTTGTGTTGTTTCGTGACTCTCTGGGACAGTTTGGTCTCCTTTCCTTCGTCTTTTTCTTATTTTGTGTCACGTTTAATTATTTCACTCGTCTCTTTGTGGTCGTTCTGTTGCCGCATACTTTAGATATTTACCTCTATCCATGTTCCACCATCAGCTGGATGTAGCTCCTCTGTTCTCTGGTTCTGATCCAGTAGGTTGGATTTTCCTCTCAGTGTCTCTGAGGAAACACTGGCTGCAGTTCAACCTGGAAACTCTCTGATTTTTTGTTAAATATTCGTCGCTCACAGCTGAGTCAGTCGTGACTTAGCAGTTGCGTCGAGGAGTTCAGAATTTTTTGTTTTTTCCGAAATCTGTTTACGTCAAATGATTTATTTTTGCAGATTTTTTATTTATTTTTTTTAAATTAAATAAACAGACGCATAGAATGAAGCGACTTTGAGTAAATATCCTGATTTTAAGCTCAGATTCTGTTAATTTTACAGACTGAGCCACGCTTTGCTCATGATGCGTTCAGGGACTGTCAGAAAGTTGGAAACGTGAGGATTTTTTCTGTTTTTACAGTTTCTGGCTCCGATAAACGGTGGAATTTTCTGGAATTATTTTAGGAAATAAGATGATTTTAACCCTGCCAGTGGATTCTGGGGTTCAGAGGGTTGATATCTGGAGCTTCTCTGTAAACTTCAGCCCTCCTTGATGTTCTAAAACCTTCTCAGGAGCTCTAGAGGTCAGCTGTTGCTGTCGCCCCCTGGAGTCGACGATAAAGACGATCTTACGTCGCTGTTTTTCTCGTTGCAGACCAAAGTGGGAGGAACAGGAAGCGGCGGCAGCTTCGAGGACGTCCTCTCGTCCGCCGCCAACGCCACCTCTCAGGACACGCCCACCAACGACCTGACGGACGGCTCCGAGCGGCCGTGTTAGGACTGAAACCCTAAAACAACCCAAAAAAAACGCTCTGCAGACAATCAGAAGTCTTCCGATGCCCGGATGGAAACTTCCCCCCCCCACCAAAAAAAACCTAATTAGAAATAAAGCTGGTTGTTGACGTGAGACTTGTCGTGTGGCTCCAGATGTCTCCAGATGTTCTCCAGATGTTCAGCAGACGGTCTGAGGAGCAGTTAGACCCGAAACCACCGCGAGAAACGAGTGCAGGTGAGCAGATTGTAAGTCGGCTTTGCTGTAGATCCGACACAAGCAGGAACAGAAGCAGAGGTTTATACCAGAAACACCACCTCTCATTAGAAATATGTGATTAAAAACACACATTCTGCATCACGTTCCAACACTAAAGGCTGCAAAAAGTCGATTAATTCACATTCTGAGTATCTGCAGACAAAAGATTTTAGTCTTCAAGGAGAATTTCAGTTTGTTTCCAGCTGCAGAGGATCACGTTAACGTGTTTTTAGAGGAATCCTTTGAATGTTAAACACAGAAATCAGCCACCAGGAACAGAATCCTTCCAACTGCATTCATGTTAACTGAGCAAACGGAGAGCTGAAGGTCTGTGGACACACTTTGGAGTCATTTGGACCATTTTGTGAGTCATTAAGGGCTCATGAGTGATGAGTTAAATAGAAAGATGAGGATTCACTTTGGACAATTTCTGAGTCATTGCTGACAAGTTTTCAATTATTTTGGACAAATTTTGAGTTGATTTGGACATTTTTTGAATCATTCTGAGCAAATTTCAAATCATCTCAGACTGTTTTTCAAACATTTTTAAAGCTTCAGTTTTTGTGGTTTTCAGTCGACAGTCTTTGACACATTTCAAAACATTTTTGACAATTTTTTGAGTCACTGGACATTTTTTTGAGTCATTTTTGCAATTTTTGAGTCATTTGAGTTGAGTATTAATTTATTTTGAACATTGTATGTGTCATTTTGACATTTTTTAAAAATATTGTTTCAAGTTAATTAGAAAAAAATCATTTTGGACAATTTCTGAGTTTTGTTTTTTTAAATTTGGTCATTTTTGGACAAATTTTAAGTCAATGTGGGCATTTTTTTTTAAAACATTTTGATAATTTTTGAGTCATTTGAACATATTTGAAGTTATTTTAGACATTTTTTGAGTCACTTTAAACATGTTTTGTGGCATTTTGACATATTTTCAGTCATTCAGGACACGTTTCAAGTTAATTAGCAAGTTTTTACGTCATTTTGAGCACATTTCAAATCATTTTGGACATTTTAAGTCACTGAGCCATTTTTGACATGTTGTTTGAGTCACTTTGATCATTTAATCGTCATTTAGGACGGAGTCCTTTTTTTTCATTTTTGAAGTCATTTTAACTTGTTTCCAGTTATTTTTGGACAGTTTTATGACTCAACTCGAGACATGTATTCGATTATTTTGGACATTTTTTTGGTACCTTTAGACACATTTTGAGTGAAATTCAAACTCGTACCAGGAAACGAAGCAGCGGTTGAACATGTTGGTGGTCCGGTCGGGCCAGTTTCTGTGTTTAGCTTCAGTCATGACTCGCCTAAAAATCTTCTGTCTTTTGGGAGTTTCCTGAATCTCCACAAATTCAAAGGTCCAAGTTAACGTGACGCAGCAGGTTGGAACAAACTGAAATTCTCCTTTAAGAGTTAAAAACAAGCTGCTCTTTTAAAATCCCAGCCGACCGTAAACACGTTTAAACACGTTTAAGCTCATCGAACTCTCAGATTCACCGACTGTTGGTAGAAACTCGGTGTTATCTGTGAAACCGTCCACGACCTTTAAATCCGACGTATGCTGGTAGTTTTTCTAGATTTGAACTCTTCCTGCTGCAGGTTTAACCTGCATGGAGCCGGTTTCACTAAACTGTGAGCAGTTTGGTGCCACGAAGTGTTAAAGATCACGTTATATTTGTGTTTTTTGTTTTCTAACTTTTTTTTTCTCGTAACTCCGCTGTCGAAGTGACGTCTAATCCGTCTCCGTGTGTTTGAGATTTTCTTTGCTGTGGTTTGAAAAAGACAAATACGTTTAATTAAAACTCAGGCACCGACGGTTCAGGATCTGTTGTTAGCAGACGTTTATAACCCAAAGACCGAGACGCTGACGTGTGATAACGCTGTTCAACACGTTCCTCCGTTTAATTCACTGTTTTTATGGCTGAAATAATAAAGACTGTTCAAACCAAATGTGACACACGACTGTTTTTATGAACGTGAAGCTGAAGCTCTGGGCAGAAAAAAAATAATGAAATGTTTGAACTCATCAGATTTATAACGAGGAGGAGAAAAAAAAAAAGCACCGCAATTAAGAATTCACTTCGTTTCTGCAAAAACGTGACCGAAAGCGTCCTCAGATTATCACACGAGTATGAAAATTATATTTAAAAAATGATGCAATTAAAGAAATAAAAGACAAACATTGAACTTAATCTTGTATTTATTGATATAAACGTATTTATTATGTGATAATATTTGATTATTTTCCTTAAAATATAAATAAACAAGTGGAATATGTCAGTTTTATTTGTCAAATCAGGTTCTTTTTGTCCACTTTTATGATTTATATGAAAATCTGAGGATGTTTTCAGTCACATTTATGCAGAAAAACGGCAAATGATGGAGTATCTGCCAGATAATATACGTTTATAATAACAAGAAAAACACAAATTAAAGCCTGTTCATGTGTAGAATATAGTTTACAGGGTATAATATGTAAAAAACATCCACAACAAACTAAAAATGCATCAATGAGAGAACTTTATGTGCAGATATGAGCTCATGTTGTCATATCAGTAAGTCATCAGCAGCTGCTTCAAACCTCCAGCATCTGTCCTGAAAACAACTTCAAGCTCCAGACAAACGAGTGAATTTAACCTGTAAACAGAAGGAATAAGAACCGTTTTATTGTCTGAACGTCCAGAGTCCAGTTTCCTCGTTTGTGTGTCAGGACGTCGGTGAGGGTTTCGGGTTTTGTTGTTCGGACGCTGAAGCGGCCGTCTGCGGTTTCCCAGAAGTCTGTGAGTCGGTCATGTGACGTCCTCGCTCTTCGTTCAGAGCGCCGACCAGCTGCAGCACGTCGGGATGCTGGAACCGACCTGGACACAGACGACAAGAACACGAGTTAGTGTTTAGGTTTGAGGTTTAGATAAGAATCCCTGTCTGGACCTGTTAACCGGGTCAGAAACTGGGTTTTCACCAGAAAGAGTCTCAAACGAAGCAGCAGCAGCTCCCAGAGCAGAACTGATGCTTCTCCTGTTGGTGGGAGCTGCAGACCTTCATCTGGAGAAGTGTGAAGCTACCAGCGGTTTAGAACCACCTGGACCTCGTGTTCTGATGCTCCCAGCTCCACGTTCAGGACTTTCTGATCAGGAAACCCCACTAAGGCGTCGACACAAACCTGCGGTGGAGTTGAAGAACTCCTGCAGGCGGCCCGGCGCCCCCTCCAGCTCCTCGTACTCGTGGGCCTGCAGGATCATCTCCAGGAGGTCCAACTGTTTGACCAGCCGGGCCTCGGCGCTGCTCTGAGTCTCGTATTCCTGCTCACAAGACGACGGAATTGGACGTGATTACGAGGAACACAAGCAGGAAAAAAACACAAATTTAAAAAAAAAAAACAGGAGAGCAGCGAACCTCCCAGAGTCCAAAGATCTCCTGCTTGAGTCCGTCGGGCAGGAGGCCGGAGAGACGCTGCATCGCTTCCTGAGGAGGAGAGAAAACAAAGATTCATCCTGAGAGCAGAACCGAACACGTTGGAGGAAACATCTGGCTGAGGTTTGTCACTGTGCAGCAGATTCAAATCATGACGACACCAATAAACTGGTTTAAGTTCTAATGCAAAGAGGAGAACGTGAAGGTAGACGTTGATTCAAATGTTTATTTATTATGGTTTTAAAAGAGTTAAGTTAAAAATAGAAAAGACCAGAAGTGACCACAATGGAAAAATATTAAATATAAACGTAACCACGCTCAGATAGAAAATACACAATAAATATGCTATAAATAAAAACGCACTAAATAGAAGAAACGCACCATAAAGTTCATAAAATAACAAGTTAAATAAAGTAATTATCATAGAAACAGATCAGTCTGAGCCAGACGTGAATCCTTTCTGTAAAACGTGTGATTTGCTGAACTTCAGTCGTCGTCCTTGCAGCTCTCTCACCTCTTCCCGTCGGTGTTTCTCTGCTTTGCTGACGTTGTCCGCCGGCGCGATATCTCCCACGATGCACTCTGCCATGTCGTGGACCAGCGCCAGCTTCATGCACCTGAACACAGACGGAGAGACGGAAAGCTCGATCTTCACTACAAATACAGTTGAAACGTTTACATCAACTTTTTCCTCTCTGACATTAAATCAGACGAAACTTTTCCTGTTTTAAGTCAGTTAGTTCTAGAAGTTTCCATCCATCTCCTCAGTATTTGCTAGCGTTGCCTTTAAACTCTATGACTTGGGTCAAACGTTCTGGGTTTCCTTCCACAAGCTTCTCACAACAGTCTGATGAGTTCTGGCCCATTCCTCCTGACAGAACTGGTGGAACTGGGTCAGGTTTGTTGGTCTCCTTGCTCCACTGATGTTCTCCAGGATGGAGATCAGGGCTTTGTGATGGCCACTCCACAACACTGACTCTGTTGTCCTGAAGCCTCTGTGTAGCTAATCTGGCGCTATGCTGAGGGTCATCGTCCATCTGAAGACCCATTAGTGTCCAAGCTGTAACTTCCTGCTGATGTCTGGAGATGTTGCTTCAGTATCTCCACATCATGTTCTTTCCTCATGATGCCATCTATTGTGTGAAGGTCACCAGTCCCTCCACAGCATGATGCTGCCACCCCCGTGCTTCATGAATGATGATTTAAGTCTGATTTAATGTCAGATAGTGAGTAAAAAAAAGGTTTCATGTCTTTTTTTATACGTAAACGTCTGGTGTCAGCTGCACAATAACTTTATTTAGAAAGCAGGTTTCTGCAATAAAGCCTCAGAAAATAAAACCAGAAAACAAAACTTAACGATCGTTCAGCCCCAAACTGTGATTTATAGTGAATTTTTATTTCACCAACAAGCTAATTCAGACTGGAAACGACACAAAGACGAAGACTTGTGTTAGAAATGTTTGTTTTTACATTTTTACTGAATATGTTATGTCCAGAATTACTCATACCCTTCAAGTTTGCACGATTGTTTAGGAAATTGCAGCTTTTATCCTGTTTCAAATGCTCCTGGTGATTTTTTCAAATCACATCCTAGTGTGTTAAATAATAAAATACAAACTGTTGTAGTTCTCTGGTCAGTTGCAAACATCTCAAACAGCCTGCATCAGCACAAAGTTTTAGTAAAAATGCAAAAGAAAAACACTTCTGACACAATTTCTTACAGTCTGTTGTCTTTTGTTAAAGTTGTTTTTAAGCCAGAAGACAAGTTCAGATCAATAAAAGATCACATTAAATCAAGATTTAAATAAATGTGCACGACTGCAGACTTACCTGCACATAAAAGAGCAAAAATAAAATATAAAAATAAGCAGAAGGAGTTAAAAACACGAACCAAACACGACAAGCTGTCATAACTTCCCGTCAGACTCGCCTGTGTTTGTCCAGCGTCGGGTCGCTGATGGTCAGAGACATCATGGCCATCCGGTACATGTGATCCGAGACACTCTCCGGGTTCTGGACCTTCCGGTAAACCCAGCCGGTCCGAGGAACCCTCTGCAGGAACGTCAGCGAGGAAGAGTTAAACTAAAATGTGTTTGAGCTCCACGTCTCTGCAGCTGCTGCCTGATTCATTCTCGTTTTAAGCAAAAAGAACATTTTTAACTCTAATCTGATGCTGAGGTCTGTCCTGATGCCTCGTTTTAGTTAATTACAATGAATCCAAGAGTAATTAATCCAAATATTAATATAACTGACATCAATTCATGAGGACAAAGACAGTCAGATCAATCTTAAAAGGACATTTTTAAGCTAAGAATCTCTGTTTCCTGCTTCTGGGTGACGCGTGTTTCTTGATTTTCTTAAACATTTATGACAGTAAATTGAATTTCTTCAGGTTTCTTTAGAGATTTGAATTCATTCCCTTGAGCTCTAGGAACTAAAAACATCACAGAAATGTCGACAAGTGCCTGGTTTTCTCATTTGCAGTGAATTTTGAGAATAGTTTGGCACCTAGCGACCTGATATTTATATCATAGTATATACATTCCAGATAGAAATGGTTTAAAATCAATGAAAATTAAGAAAATATTCACCTTTTAGCGGCTGGAAATAGCAAAATTAGGACATTTTACTTTAATAAATACCTACGATCATCATATTTGCCAGAACATTTTTTTACTTTTTGGTTTTTTTGGTTGGTTTTTAGTTGTTTGCATTTGAATTGATTTTAAAAGTTATAAACAGATTCCAGCAGCAGATCACATAATCGAGCAGTTAATTAATCAAACAACAAATCAAAATCAGCCTTGGTTTGCATTTACTGCATAACTTGAGCTGCAGGACTCATCATTACATTTAAAATAATACTAATAATTTGAGAGCAAGAAAAGGAAAGCAGCTCTGATCGGACTCAGAAATCATTTTAAATATTGATTAACTCATAAAAACCGTCCTGCGGGTTTAAATAACTCAGTCTGAGTTCACAGGAGTCCAATCAGAGCTTCTATCAATGAGCTGAGCTGCTCCACACTCTGTCCACATCCTGCAGGTTTTACAGTGTGTCCGGTTGACCCTGAACGCACCACCAGCTCCCACACAAACCCTCTGGAGCTCATTTGTTCTGAAACGTCCCGACTTTCAGCCACAATCTTACTTTGAGTTGTCCAATGAGCTTCATGAACTGCAGCATGTTGCTCGAGCTCGAAGCTGCCATCGTTCTGCTGCGACCGGATCCAGAGGGGCGGAGTCTGTCGCTGCAGGGACCGGAAGCTGCCGCAAGGGGGCAGCAAAGCACAACACAAGCCACTTCCTGTCTGGGTGGAGGGTCAGTTATCTCCTGGTGTCTGCTGTGTTCACTTAACATTGTTTTATGGTCGCTTACTTTGGGTCTGAACTGATGAAAATAAATGATTTAAAGATCTTGTTGTTTTCCTGGACTCCTTGTTTAATGTCAATAAACGGTTCAGCAGGTTTTAGTTCTCTTTTAGATTTTTTTCCCTTTAATAGTTTATTTGGTTTTGTCTTATTTTATTTTATTTTATTTCATTTAACGTGGTGTTTCCTCATTACAAGGGTGTTATTTAGGATAGCATCCCCTCTGTTCCTTAATTTATAACATAATGTTGTTGGTTTTTATTTTATTAATGTTTTTTTTTTAATTCCTTTCATCTTTAGCTACATTTCATTTGTATAAAAAGTGCTATGCAAATAAAGTCTGATTAAAAGTCACTTTATATACTTGACTTTATGTGATGTCTGTTTTATTCTTTATTTTTTCATTTTATTTCTCTCTTTTTCATTTATTCTATTTATTCTTTTTCTTTTGGTATTACCCCACAAATCCATTATATTTCTGTCCGTAATGTGCATTTGCATTTTTGGTGTTTTTATTATTTGCTGTGTAGACTTAGTCTTATTGAAATTCGGTAGTTTGCATTCTGTATTATTATTATTATTATTATTATTATTATTATTATTATTATTGGGATTTAACGTGTTGGTGTAGTTCCGCCTCTGGCCTGTGGTGGCAGCAGTCAGCCTCCGCTGCGTCCAGCATTTAACCCGCAGAAGAAGAAGTGAAACCAGAAGTCGGAGGAGCGGGAGATTGAAAAACGTAAACAAACCTTTTAGCGGCTCCGAACTTTAATTTTACTCTAAAATATCGAACAAAATGCTGAACAAAGCTCCCAAACTGAAGAGTACCGTCAAGAGCAAGGCGAAGGGCAGCATCAACGTCCGGCCGGCGTCGGAGGCGATGGTACGGAGGCACCGGTACCGTTTGATGCTAACGCTAGCGGCTAACTGACGGGAGCTGGTTCGGTAATAATAAACCCGTTTCTCCTGTTTTTGTCTCCAGATTGAGCTGTTGACTCTCCTGTTCCTGAACAGTCTGACTGAGGAGGCCAAGGCCAAAGCGTTTGAGGAGAAATCCGCCACCATCAGAGCTCAGCACGTCCGAGCGGTCACCAAGGTACGAGCTAACACCTGGGACTGACCTGCTACATGTCTGGCTCCGTCTAAACACTGATGAGCTCCAGGAAAGTTAGCAACAGTCAGTGCGAATCAGAAACGCCATTACAAGCTTCTTTGATCAGAAACTGGGTCACCAGCATCAGGAATTCAAGGGTTTTCAGCAGGCTGATGCACTGCGAGGATGCTAGCAGGGCATAACCAAAATATAAAACAAAATAAGCCAAATGTCCAACAGAAAAACACCCAAAGTGACAGAAAACCTTGGTGACCAACACCAGCCTGCACCAACAACCTGGAACGTAATTGAAAGGAGAAAATGTGGGAAATAAAGTAGATTTAATATAATAAAAATGAATCTCTTGTAATCACACGCAGTTTAAAATCATGTCGATGCTGCATCTCTGAGAATAACAGACCATTTTATTAAAAATCCAAACAAATTTCCTAAAAATGTTTAACACTAGAAACGTGATCACAGCAGCCAGAATAAAGCCACCACACCTGTGCTTCAGGCGTTTCCTAACAGGTGAGGTGTTCAGGTCAACACCCCTTAATTGGTCAAATTGTGCCAAGGGTGTAACAGAATTGGGCTGCAGGTGGATCAGTGGTTAGCACCGTCGAGTCGCAGCTAGAAGGTCGCCGGTGAGGACACCCGGGATCTTTCTGCGTGGAGTCTCCATGTTCTCTCCGTGCAGCGTGGGTTCTCTCCGGGTTCTCCGGCTTCCTCCCACAGTCCAGAAACATGCTGAGGTTAATTGGTGATTCTAAATTGTCCGTAGGTGTGAATGTGAGTGTGCTTGGTTGTCTGTCTCTAAGTGTAGCCCTGTGATAGACTGGTTACCTGTCCAGGTGAACCTGCCTTCACCCTGAGTCAGCTGGGATAGACTCTAGTGAGAATTAAGCAGCGTGTAGATGATGGATGGATGGTGTAACATTATTGACTCGCTCTAACAATGCAATTTAATGTGAAACAGCGCCACAGTATTGACCCACACATGTGTAGCTTAACGAGAGACGTGTGAATATCTGATATTTGTAGCACACATTTAAACAACCTCCAATTAGAGCTCTAACTACTGTTTTGTCTGTTAGTTAATTCACTAGAGCTGCTATGATTAAACAATCAGTTGTCCACTGTTCAATTAATCGCAAACCATTTGATAATTAATTAACTGGTTTGATTCACTGCCTTTATTTAAAGTCTGAATACGCTGATGTGTGGAGGCCTTGTTTACAAAACAGCAGAAAAATAAAAGATGCACATGGATGATGAACCTCGGTAGCAAAAACAATAAAGTTATAATAAAAGATAAAATGATAAAAATGTTTATTAGAACATTTGAGATTCAAAAACAAAAGAATCCACGAAATCAGGAGCAGCTGGAACTGAAATAAGATGAAATGAGGAAGCTACAGGTTCCTCTACAGTTAAAGATGAATCAGGTTTTACTGTCCTGCAGGTTTTTCCAGCTTCCATGTGCACAAGCCGACACCTGCAGTAAAAGACGGCAATGAAGTGATATGAGGAAGTAAAATAACAATAAGAGTCTCTTAAATAACTAAAAGCCGGTCTATCAAGAACCACCCCACCTGAACATAAAGCTCACAGTGATGAGTAGTTTAATCTACAGGTTTAAAGAGTCACAGCTGAGTCGTGCATCTGTAAAAAGAAAACTTACCTCCTCAGTGTAGTTAAAACATGGTTTATTTCTGCACAAGAACCATTTTTTGTTGTATCTTCGTCACAAAACATCTAAATGTCAGTTTGTCGCTGATCAAAATCACCAGATGTTTGTACTTTGTGATAAATTCTCTGATTCTGAAGTCTAAACCCTCTAATACCAGCTGCTTAAATGTGAATATTTTCGGATTTCTTTCCTCCTTCGTGACCGTAAACTGACCATCTTTGCACAAAGCAGGTCATTTGTCATCCAGGCTTTTTCTTTAGACCAACACTTTCCATCATTTCTGACCTTTTACAGACCAAACAACTAATCGGTTAATTAAAAAAATCAGTAATACGATACCTACCCGTCATTTATTTATTCAAATACTTGTTTGTTTATCTGGTTGAGACCAAATTTACTGTCAATGAGGAGAGAAAAACAGAAAATATTTTCATCTCAGAGGCTGGAGCTGCTGAAATTCATTTTGTCTAAAACAAAACACATCTGATCAGAATAACTGCAGGTTGATTTTCTATCAAACACTAACTGTTACGGCTCTGATTTGATGAAACTGAAAACACTCAGCAGAAGGTTTTCTGCTGCTCCTGGTAATATAGTCATACTAAATCATGTGCAGCACTAAAGGCAGGTGTTTGTGCTCGACATGTTGGATTTTTTGGCTTATTTGAGACGTTTGAGCTTCAGTAGCAGCACGTTTAATCGATCAAACTGTACTTTCATGGCACAAATCACGCATTAAACACAACCAAAAAAAACTCTTGAATTGAACATAAAGGCTAACAAATACAATGCAGATTTTTCTTTTAGCTTTTAGATCCGTTTTAACAGTAAACGGTGCTCAGACATAAGTTTTTAGAGACAAAACAATGATTTTAAGTGAATTTAGATGCTGTAAACTTTGTACTAGAAGCGACGTAATTGCAGAGTTTTTTGGATCCTTCCTGCAGTCTGAATAAATCAGTTTAAAGTCGAGTAAAGATGAAAAAATTACACAAACCACAAGTTATTTGTTTGAACTCTGTAATAAACACAATCAGGAATTTGTGACTCTTAAAATAAAAATCACTAAAATGTGGTAATTTAACTTTTTTTTATTCTTATCTGTAAACCAAATGATATTTACCAGTTTACATTAAATCTGATGCGACCTGAACTGTACGTTTGTTTGTTCATTTAAATGCTAAATATATGCTTATGGATATTTTTTTTCTCTTTTTTTTTGTAGAAAGTGCTGAAAAAGTCGAGAGGATGACGATGGCGAGGCTCATCGCTTCTGTTTTATGGACTTTATGACAGACGAGGAATATTTTTGTGGTATGTTTTTGCCTAAAATCAACTCTTTCTTTTGTTTTTTTTCTTTTTTTTTTTCTTGCATTCCCTCTGCAAGCAGACGCTCTGAGTTCCTGTCATCAGAGTTTGTTTTTTCTTATTAAATTCTTCATTTTTCTGGCTTTTACACGTACTTTAAACGTCTCGGTGCCACAACTCAAAACTACCAAATGTGGAAGTTTAACAGAAATATTCAAACAGTTTAGCGAAACAATTTCAAGTCGACTGAGTGTTTTGTGTGAGGAGCCGAAGCTGTTAGTGGAGGCTCCTGTCAGCTCTCATATCGCTTCGGCTTCCTCCTCACTTCTTCACGCTGCATAGATTTATCCGACATGATCCTTTTTTTTTTTTTTGATACTTGCAAATTCTGAAACTGAAAGACGGTGTTGGACACCAAGATTACACACCGTCACTGCTGCTCAGAACAAACTGAACGGAGGAGAATCTGAAAGACTCTTAAACAGGCTCTGAAAGCTGAAAACTGGTTTGATCGATGAGGTTCAACTGTTCTATAACACATGAGTTTTTTTCTCCGTTTCACCACCAGAACATCCATCCACAAGTGTTTAAACATGAACATGTTAGAAAGTGATTCTTCCACAGAGTGACTCATGTCTATAGATGTTCAGCTGGTATTAAATGTTGGTAAAAAAATGCTCCTTCCATCGTCTAGAACTTGTTCTGACCGACCACCATCACACATATCACGAATATGAGTTTCCCAGAATGCACTTTGTAGAGTTCCCCCTGTCCGAAATGACCCCAAATGTGCCCAAAAGTGTTCAAAACGTGTCCAAAGGGTCTTGAAACGTCTCCATAAATGTGTCTTCTGTCCAAAAAAATGTCTAACATGACTCAGAACTTTTCCAGAGTGACTCTGAAGTTGTCCAAAACGATTCCAACCCTGTTCAAAGTGACCAGAGCTTCCCCAAAATGACTTGAAATCCAAGAAAATCATTCATGTCTAGAAGATGATCAGCTGGTAGGTTCTGGAGGTAAAACGGTCCTTCTATTGTCTAGACCTGGTTCTGACCAACCACCATCACACATGCTGGTATGAGCCTGGACAGTTTACCCAGAATGCACTTTGTAGAGTTTTCTCTGGTGAATGATCAGAACCAGAACCACAACCAGGGTACCGATGACTGATTCTGTCATTGACATTAAACTGTTCACGTTATGAGACATCCCATAATACTGATGCTTAAAGCTGGTCAGAGACAAAAAAAGGTCTCGAAATGTGTTCAAAATGACGCCAAAAAAATAACACAAGAACTCAAAAAACCAAAACGCCCTCACTGATATAAAATGTGTACAAAATTGCCTGAAACGACAGAAAAATGTATTTAAAGTCAAAATGATTCAAGGTTTCTCCAAAATAAACCAACATTTGTCCAAACGCCGTAATCGCTTTAAAAGTTTTGTCCAACTTTGTTCAGAACGACATGAAAACTGTCAAAATGGTTTAAAAAATTATAGAAAAATAATCCTGCTGAACAGAATCCAGGTCCAGTGTTCAGACTGAGACACCTGGATGGATGTAGAACTGATTCAGCGTCTTGTTTGCCTCGTTTTCTGCTCATCTTGGTCATTTTTTTTGTCTCCTGTCTGTTGTTTTGTGTTGTTTAGTGTCTTACGGACAATTTTTTCTCATTTTAATGGTCGCTTTTGGCTTTTTGTGTCTCACTTGTCTTATTTCGTGTCTCGTTTTTGTATTTCGTTGTGACGTATTGAACGTTTTACACAACTTAAGACCGCGATGCATCCCATAATACTGATGCTGACAGATGGTTTACAGAGAAAATGAACAGAAACCAGATCCAGTGTTCAGACTGAGACACCTGGATGGATCTGGTGTCGGGTTCTACCAGAGCTCAGATGTGTTTCTGTGTCTGTCTGCTGCACTGATGAGGCTCAGAAATGATGGAAAAGGTCCATCAAGAAGCTTCAGAATGTCCTTTAAAGGCCAGTAATGCTTTAAATATTCACAGTATGACGGTAGAACTTTGCTCATTGGTTCTTTGGGCGTCACGTAGCAGAGCTGAGTGATTTCTTGGTTCGACCCGTTGTCGTTTCTTTTCGGCTTTTCAAACAGTCCAGTGGTTGTTTTCTCCCAGAAGCCTCGTCCTGTTTATGCTCCCAGTCGGACTGAGGGAGGTGTTACTGGGTTTGTGAAGCCCCACCAGTCCGACCAGTCTGACCAGTCTGACCTCTCCACACTTTGCTTCCTCAGGAGTCTGAGTTACATGTTCTTCAGTTTCCCATTTTATCAAGCTTTGCTCTCGTTCTGGAGAGGTTTTAGAAGCTCGCTGCTCGCCGCCGTCTCCAGCTCCTCTGGCTGCTCCTCTGGCTCTAAACTAAAAAACCAAACCCTCCGACTATCTCCTGCTGACGCTCTCCTAACCAGGAACATCTGCCTTCACAGGTTCAGAGCTGTTTCTGTTTATCTGCAGATAAGGAATCGACAGAACCGGCCCGTGAACTTGACGTGATGAGAATTGACAGGCAGAAGAAGTTTAAGTACCAAATCGTGATTTTTTTTAAGAAGAGGGAAAACATTTCCCAGAAGAAGCCTGGAACAGCTCAGATCTGTTTGGGAGACGCAGAAAGAAGAACCGCAGAGTTCCCAAAACAGCCGATTAAAAACAAAAAACCAACGAGCTTTCATCACCGTCCAGCGTGTTTGTGGGAATCTGCTGATTCTGTGTGACACCTCCAGCCCTTCAGTTGTGTTTTCTCATTGGGAGGTAGTCAGATCAGCCCCTATCTGTCGGTTCTAATGGAAAACGGTCTGAAGGCGCTGGCTCACGGGAGTCCGCTTCATCCGCTTCCTATTAGACGACTCTTTAAGCTTCGGCGTCGTCGCGAAGCGCTGCGAAAACAAACATTTCTGCTTCAAACGGATCCGAACGAGGCCGAGTTCTGTTGTCACACTCTGGACGTGAGCAGAATGACGGAGGCTCTAGAGGCGAGCCAGCCTGCTGGAGCTCTGGCGCCTTGCGGGGTTTTCATCTCGGTTCTTTTTTATTATTTATGTCGCTTGAGTGCAGAAAATACAAAGAAACCGAGTCGCTCTCGTCACACGATCAGTGACCGAAAAGCTGATTTAGTCTGCCTCATATTCAGAACACGAACAAACAACAGAATTACTGAACAACCAGTGATTCCAATAAGTCACCTTTAATAACAGAAACACCTTCATCACACTGAAACCACAAAATGTTGTTTTCGCTGCAAACTGATGCTTTACATTGAGTTTCCTTCATTCTTCCTCGTCCTGCCGACTAATAACGAGCGGTTTGTGTAAATGTCCAGGTCATGTCCTGCAGCTGTTTGTACATTTTTTACTTAAAAAGCACTTCCAAAACCTACCGACAGCTAAACAGGTTGTGACTAATTTTGGTTTATAGTGAATTTTTACTGGACTTTGAAGCTTCGTCTGCCTGGAAATGACACAAAAAATGACAAAAGACTTTGTGTTTGAGGTGTTAATGATGGATTTTTACTATTTTTTATGTCGTTTTTACGTTTATGTTAATGTGTGAAAAGCTTTGACGTGTCAAATTCTGCAAAAACATTTTGTTAAAGGTGTTAATGGTGAATTTTAGCGAATTCTATGTTGTTCTTTTTTACGTTTTTACCAAAAAATAACACGTCCAAAACCTATCGACAGTTACAGAGGTTGTGAAACGGACTAATTTTGGTTTACAGTGAATTTTAACTTGACTTTGAGGCTTCTTCTGCCTGGAAATGACCCAAAAAGTGACAAAAGACTTTGAGTTTGAGGTGTTAATGATGGATTTTTACTATTTCTATGTTGATTTTGCGTTTATATTAATGTGTGAAAAGCTTTGAAGTGTCCAATTCTGCAGTGAAGTCAGAAGCAGCGACTAAAAATGGTTGATTTTTAACTATTTCTATGTTGTTTGTTTTAGATTTTTACATCCAACATGTTCCTAGCCTGTGATAGGAGTTACAGGTGTGGGTTCAGGATGTTAAAGAGGTCATGAAACAGACTTATTTTGGTTTATAGTGAATTTTTATGTGACCTTGAGGCGTCTTTTTCCTGTGAATGACACAAACGAATGAGACAGACGTCGTGTTTGAGGCGTTAATGATGCATTTGAACTGTTCCTCTGTTGTTTTAAAACATTCATACGTCTGAAGTCGGTGCAGATTTTAGTGAAAACACATTTTTAAAAATCTGCATTAGACACAAGTCGAGGCTTTAATGAAGACAGAAAAGAGGGTGATGTTAGCAGTCGGTTAATTTATGACGTGGGAAGTCCAGATTTGTCTTCTGAGTGCTGCTGAATGAGTCAGGAGGAGGGTGGATACAGAACCGACCCAGACCCTCCATCAGATCACATCTCGGCGGTTCCTCTCCTGTTTTCATTCCTCTGCTGATCTCGTGGAATGCACGAGAACAAACATCTCGGCTGCCGGCGTCGCTGACTTCTGAGCAGAATCTGGGAGCTCCTGTTTTGTTTTCTACCATGAACGAGACCAGATCTGGGACGTGAAGGGAAACATGCGCGTGCCGTCCTTCGTCTGGATTCTGCAGCTGGTGAATCTGACCGAAGCTCGAGACGCCAACGTCCTGCAGCTCGGACGTGAGTACCCTCCTGCTGCTTCTGGTGGTTTTCTCACCACATGTGGAGGCAATAAGTGTGTTTTTGCAGCCTGTTGTCAGATTTCATCACAAATTCTCCTTAAACACCAGACTGCCTGTGAGTTTATGGGCTGTAAATGGATCCCAGAGTTCAGGATAATAACGTGATCCTCTCTCTGTCCTGCAGGCAGCTCCTCGGTGAGCAGCGTCTGCCAGGCCGGCTGCGCCACCTGCTCGGCGCCCAACGGCTGCCTCACCTGCAAGAGTCGCTTCTTCTTCCACCTGGAGCTGGACGGGATCCGGCAGAGGGGCACCTGCCTGACCTCCTGCCCCCGAGGACACTACGGGAGGCGCTCGCCGCACACCAGCACCTGCACCAGTAGGTACCAGTAGACACCAGTAGATGCTGATTCTGCAGAGGAACGATGCTTGTTTTTATATTGCTGGTGCAAATTTTATACCAGTGAGCTAATTTTACGACACTTAAATGTCGACTTTTATGAATAACGTACCGCATGAGAATGCAGCGTCTCTTTGTCTTTAAACCTTTCTGTTGCATTTATGAGCTTTTGCAGCTTTCCAGCAGCTTCATAAACGCTTCTCGATGCATCTGGTGCTTATTTTGCAACTAACCCAACTAATTGTTGTCATTCTTAAATAATCTGTGAAGTATTTTCTGGATTATTTAATTAGTTGTTAGAGGAAAAGGTTTTTTTTTTTTTTTAGCTTACTGTCACAGAGGAGGAAAGAAATCAGAAAATATTCACATTTAAGAAGCTGCGTTTACAGAATTTAGACTTTTTTTTTTTAATTTAAAAAGTGACTCAAACTGATTCATCAATTATCAAAACAGTTGTTGATTAATTCAGTGTGAATATATATTATTATATGTTTCAGACTAGCAGAAGCTGTGTAAAACTATTTTTACTCAATAAAGATCTGTTTTCAGTCTGTTTATAGATTTAAAAAACTAAAGCATGAAAAATAACTTCTTGCTGTGACATCAGCAGCGCTGCAACTGGCTTCCTGTCAGTTATTAATGAATTACTTGTTTGGTCTATAAAATGTGAGAAAACTGGAAAGTGTCGGTCAGCGTTTCTCAGAGCCCGACGTGATCGATGTCGCGGGTTTGTTTTGTTTTTTTGTCGACAGTCTAAAGATGTTCAGTTTACTGTCACAAAGGAGGAAAGAAATCAGAAAATATTCACATTTAAGAAGCTGCACCCGGAGAATTTTTACAGTTTTACTGTAAAAGAAAACAATTCAAACTGATTAACAGGAGAGTTGGCAGTTCATTTAATAGATAGATAGATAGATAGATAGATAGATAGATAGATAGAACCTCAGGGAAACTGTTGAAATTGGTTGACACTGATTGAATTGATCGTTGCAGCTCTTTTAAAAACATGTCATAGCTGCTCTTCAGCCTGAAATATCCTGAATGAGCTCCAGCGTTAGCGTCTCGTCGTCCTCACCCTGTGCTTCGTCTCCGTCGGTCTGCAGAGTGCAAGGCCGACTGCGCTTCCTGCTTCAGCGAAGGCTTCTGCACTCGCTGCCACCCGGGTCACTTCCTGCTCCGAGGCAGATGTGAGAGCAGCTGTCCGGACGGTCTGACGGAGAACACGGCGCTGCGGGAATGCACCGGTGAGGCACTGGACTCATGTGGTCTGCTTGAAACAAGTTTATCCACAGACGTTACACTCCCTGTTAGATAAAGAAGTCGGTTTAAGGTTCTGCTGATTGCATTTAAATGTCCTCATGGTCAGTTAAATCCTTTCTGTGCAGCTCAGGTCAAGTCAGAAAATCAGTTAATGTGAAAACCTGCTGGTGGATTTATTATGTTTACATTAAATCTCCACAATTACAGCTTCTATCAGCACCATGAGCTGTGAAAAATATAAAAAATAATATAAAAAGAATAAAGAAATCTAACTTTCAGATTGTTGTTTTTCATCAACATCACAATGTCTGATTTCAACATTTACATAAACTTTTAACATGATCCAGAAAATGATCATCAGATTAATTAAAAATCTGTCGTCGTCTGGCCTGAAGCCAAATGATTTCACCTGTGACCTGCGTTCAGTTGATTCCTCTTTAACCCTCTAAAGCCCAAAACCCAGCAGTAAGTTTCTCATGACATTAAACCTTCTCTATAAATGACTCTCCCTCCGTCTCTGTCAGAATGCTCTGCAGGCTGCGAGCTGTGCACGAGGAGGAACGTGTGCACGAGGTGTAGAGAGGACTTGTTCTTCCTCCACCATCAGTGTCACCTCAGCTGTCCGAGAGGCTTCCAGGCCGACGTCCAGCTGATGCAGTGCACCCCAGAAAGTGAGACACATTCATTTCTTTTCTCTGAATCGCATCGTGTTTCTGTTCCCGGTATCTCACTTTTTTTTTTTTACCCCTCTGTCTCCTCCAGGTCACTGCGAGGTCGGGGAGTGGACACGTTGGGGTCCTTGTGTTGGTAAACGGAGGATGCGAGGGTTCAGGAGGGGAGAGCAAACGCGAACCCGACAAGCGCCGCTCTCCCCCCTGAGCGTCTCCGGCGACCCGTGTCCACACGTGACCGAGATCAGGAAGTGTGTCCTCAAGAAGAGACGCAGCAGAAGGTTGTAGCAACATCTGCAGCTCGTTACTGCTGCACCTCCTGCTTCGTCTCCTAATTTAAAAACTATTTTAACGTGTAAAAAAAAAAGCTTATTTTCATATCCACTCCAACAGAACTGAATACAATGAATGGATGCATCTGATAACAGTAAATAAAACTAATGTGTGTGTCTACTGATTCAAACATCTTTGCTGCATCATTTATCTGGACTTTGGGACCTTTTATAAAACATCAGCACGCTAAAGATGTTTTATAAACGGATCTCCAAACTATTTCATCTATCTCTTTTCTATTTAAGGACTCACCACGATAAAGAATCTCTTTTTCAGCAGCACATGCAAACAAAAAACAAAAATATTTGCTATATCCCCCTAATATATATTATTCTGATCTGTCTTTCTGCATTTTCAGTACTTTTATTTAAGGTACTTCAAGTATATTCTGATGGTCCTGTACCTTTTGCTTTATTTTTTATCTGTGACTGAGTATTCCTACGTTGTGTTATGTGGTACTTTTACTCGAGTACAAGATGTGAGTCCTTCCTCCACCTGTGGAATTAATTTATATGTATTGAAACACAAAATTGAGCAAATGTGTAAAAATGTCAGGAAGTTATTGTTAATAATTTGCTTGTTTAAATATTTTGGGACAGCGTTATGCAAAGAAATAACGTGTTAGGTTGTAATAATGATAATTAATAAAAGTTTATAGTATGACACAACCAAGAACATAATTAGTGGTTTTAATATCTATTATATTTAATTATATTTTGTAATTGTTAATGTTGTTATTGTTACCGTACTTTCTTTTTTTTTTCTTTTTTAAAAATTATGTACTTGTATTTAATATCTACCGGCGGACGGAAGCCTGGTTATCCATTTTCCAATCGCTTTTCTTCTTTGCTGGCTACGTCATGACGCACGGTACGTACGTGACGTAGCCGCGCAGCTTACAGTAGATCTACAGAGCGTGTGTAGCGGCTCCGCAGGGCACGTTCGGCCCGTCCAGGCGCACCGAGGTCTGCGGAAGTCCGCTGGCAGCCTTCACACAGCGCAGTCACCGCTCTGCTTCGGCGAGCAGGAACTTTAGAACCAAATCTAAATGCGGCCGTATAAATATCTCCGTCTGCGGTTCTGCTGAGGACGCTGCTACAGGCTCCGGTTCAGGTGAGTTTGTTACCGGAGACACTGAAGCCCCGGGAGGCTCACTGGCGGCTAACAGGCTACATATGCTAGTGGAGCTGTCAAGTTGACGTTAGCAAGGGAATGTTTGACCTTAACTGACTGATTTAACTATATAGATAAACAGGTAACAGCCAGGTAACAGTTAACATCTTGTATTAAGACTTAAAGCTGTTGAATTAGCAACTTGGCTAACGCTAGCTCAGTGAGGTGGGTGTGTTAGCTCAGTCAGACAGGGAGGGCCTTTGTTATGCTAGCTGTCACACTCAAGTGCTAGCTGTTGTAGTTTCTACAGATATGTAAACTTTAAAGTAACTTAGAAAAGCACGTGAACAGATGGACGGTTTAAATGAAGGTGAATTTATTGTTCCGTGTACATGAGGGCGTTTCCACAACAGCAGCAGCGCATGTCAAGTAGGAGGAGACACCCAGTTGTGTTGTCATGTTACTGTCAGTGTGATCAACCTGAAGTTTATCCTTATATTGATAATTACTGATCCTGTTTAATGACCTGTTTTTATTACAGACAAGCTTAAAAAAAAGGTTTGTTAGCCTATTTATTGAGGTACACAGGGAGTACTTAATATAACAATAATGCAGCAATGAAACATGCTTGAATTAAATTAATTTACTGAGCTGAAGGAATGATCTCACCTTGATACACATGAAATAGAGAAGGCAGGTAAAACCCGGGGATGCATGGAGGGCAACCAGGTGCAGTGGTTAAGGTTTACTTGGATCAGGTTAGCAAACAGAGACCCCGCTTTGGCCTCTGTGAACCCTGAGGTCAGGTTGGTCAGCCCTTGGAGAAGGCTGCCAGGAGTGCATCCCTGAGACGGAGGTGGAGGATGACACAGGTTCATGGGTGTTTTTACACCACTGACCACCACCAAGCACTGCCTCTACCTGGGCAGGTCTGCCGCCATAGGGAGCCACAGGTTGGCATGCCTTGGGTGACCTGCACAGCAGCCATGACGAAGAAAGAAGGTACTGCGTAATCGAGGGATACGATAGGCTGATCCAAGGCGGCTTCGCAACCAGACTTTGTGTTTTCGTTGTGTGCTTTCATGGCGGTTAAAGTCCAGGACATTTAAGTGAAACTATCTGACTTTCTTTTGACGGTTTTCTTATTTCTGTTGATGAGGTCCATCATTTTGTCACCAGTTCTGTGGATAAAACAACAGCTCTATGAACTGGTGACTCATCAACAAGAACAAGAAAATCATTTGATAGTTTCACTTAAATCCACCAGATACAGATCGCCATGAGCAGACTTCACCGTCTAACAACACCCTTGATCCATCCCAACACCTCCACCTCAGCGATGCACTGACGGGGTCTTTGTCCTCAGACAGCTGGTCCAACCTGAACCTCCACCTAAGTTCAGTGCAGCACAGGTTTCACTTTCCATCTTTATTTAATGTGTATCGAGGTGAGATCTGTCCTTATTCCTTATGTATTTCACTTATAGGTGTGAATTGATTTATTTGCGTGTGTTCGTCATTGTTGTGTTAAAATTATTACTTTGGTGCCTTAAATTTAATTTAAACCTTCATCGTCTTGGTCTCTAATAAAAGTAGGTCATTAGACAATCAGCAGAGTTTTTCTACTGTCAGACTTATTTACTAGAAAACTGTACGTGGAGCCTTGCAGCAGATTTGTCGTGACCGCTCTGTTCCTCTCTGCAGCATGGCCGGCCGTGGAGAGCTGGACTGCTCGCCGAATGCCTCGGCCTCCTCTAAGCTGACGGAGGAGGAATCCTGCCCCGCCGACTCCACCTCCACCTCCACCTCCACCCCGGAGTGCGCCATCTGCCTGCAGAGCTGCGTCCATCCAGTCCGCCTGCCCTGCTGCCACGTCTTCTGCTTCCTCTGCGTTAAAGGCGCCTCCTGGCACAGCAAACGCTGCGCTCTCTGCAGGCAGCAAATCCCAGAGGACTTCCTGGAGCGGCCGGTCCTCCTCTCACCCGAAGAGCTGAAGGCGGCGGCTGCGGGGCTGAACCGAGGCAGCGGGACGGGAAGCGAGTCCCGTGGAGACTTTGCGTGGTACTATGAAGGACGTAACGGCTGGTGGCAGTATGACGAGAGGACCAGCCGGGAGCTGGAGGAGGCCTTCGCTAAGGGCAGGAAGAGCACCGAGATGCTGATCGCCGGGTTTCTGTACGTGGCTGATCTGGAAAACATGGTGCAGTACCGCAGGAACGAACACGGCCGCAGACGCAAGATCAAGAGGGACGTTGTCGATATCCCAAAGAAGGGGGTGGCGGGCCTGAGGCTGGAGCCCGAACCGGCCTCCGGCTCGACTTTACCCACAGAACGCGTCAGCTCGGCTGATGGGTCGGACTCTGCCGGCCAATCACAGTCTTCCTTTGGCATCCTGGTGTCTCTGCCCCCCGTCAGACCTCAGACTCTGCTGGGACGCCACCTCACCAGCCCTCTGTCTCCACCGCCTTCCACCCTGGAGGAGTCTTTCTCTCAGCTGCTGATCAGCCAGCCGGAGGGCGAGGAGGTGGAAGGAGAGTACGAGTTCGCATCCGGCAGCAGTGAAGGCGAGGAAGACGAGGAGGAGGAGGAGAAGGAGCGAGAAGAAGCGACGGCACAAAGGAGACGGAGGCTGAGAGAGAACCAGCCGACCAGAGTCCCTCCGAGAGGCCGACCGTCCAGCTCAGCGCTGAGTCTGCGCTCCCGTAGTCCTGACGGACAGTGCACTGTGACCGAGGTGTGACTGGACGGCTTTAAACTCTGATCAGTTCAGCAAAAAATGCATCTTTGAAGGTCCCATGGAAGGAGAAACACCTGTAACGTGTTGTTACGTGGGTCACTGGGTGATCAGCCGTGTGCCAAATATGATCCTGAAATGCATCCGACCTGTTTCTACGTCACCATGTTCTCGGGTTCATCAGAGATCTCCATCCAGCTCAGTTAAATCTTAATCTTAGTTGTTTTGTAGGCGGCTTAGCGAACGCTGGACTGCTGGGATCTGGAAAAATCAGCTTTCTTGTCCTCCAGCTTTCTTGCAGGTGAAAAATCATCCGTCCACTTTTTTGTTTAATTAAAAAGAAATAGCTAAAACTTTAGATTTTAACTTGTTTTAAAGCCTTTAAAAGCTGATTTAAGACGCATTTCTTAAGAAGAGTAATCAACTTTTTGGCCATAATCACCGTCCGTCGCTGCCTTCACATCAGGAGCCGCAACGATTAATCGATTAGATGTCGACTGTTTAGTTAAATAGCAAATATTCTGATTACTTTCCAAAAGCAGGTTGTAGAACTCTGGCTTTGATGTTTTTGCACAACAACAGCAAGAGTTTTGTGAAATTTAACTTTTTTTTTTTGTTATAATATCACAAAAATCTAATTTGCCTCATAAAGAAATCCACCCCCAAAAGAAATGTGAACAGAGGAAGCATCCAGGATTACAACATGGATTACAAAGCTGTGAGAATTAGTCAGTTAACAGGTTTGAGTAATTTAAAAAAGGCAAATTTCTCTGATTGCAGCTTTTTCAATGTGAATATTTTCTGGTTTCTTTCCTCCTCTGTGACAGAAAACTGAATATATTCAGATTGTGGACAAAACAAGTGAGTGCAAGTGTTTTTAAATCAATTTATTTTACCAGGAATCTGTTTAAAACAATAACCAGAAGCTTAAAAATGTAGAACAGCACAGTAGATTGTAAGAAGTTTTCACTTAGCGATTAATTTAAGAACTATTTCGACAGATTGATTGATTTTGAGTATTTTTTTTTTTTTTTTTTAGGTATAAACTCTGAGATTCCAGCAACCTTTTCTGGTTTCTTTCCTCTGTGACAGAAAACTGAATATATTCAGATTATGGACAAAACAAATGAGTGCAAGTGCTTTGAAATGAACTTATTTTACCAGGAATCTGTTTAAAACAATAACGAGAGGCTTAAAAATGTAGAACAGTACAGTAGATTGTAAGAAGTTTGAAATTTTCACTTAGCAATTAATTTAGGAACTATTTTGACAGATTCATTGGTTTTGAGTATTTTATTTTAGGTGTAAACTCTGAGATTCCAGCAACATTTTGTGGTTTCTTTCCCACTTTATGAGAGTAAACGTGTTTTTTTTTATATCCTCCAGACCAAACATCTGATCGATTAATCGAGTAAATGCTCGTTATTTGCAGCCGGGGTCGTGACGACCTCGTTAGGCGACGCTCCGCTCGCTGATACTTCGATCATGTTTTTAATCGATGCTTTCACGTAGCGCCTTCGGTACCAGACCCAGAAGAGCTGCTCACTTCTTCCTCGTTAGGTTTTTAAGGTTAACCAGGATCTAGTTAACGACTATTTAAACTGGAATGTGTGTGTTTGAGGGAGTGTGTGTTCCCTCCGTTTCACTGTGTTTGTTGTCATGAGCGGCGTGGAGGTGCTGAAAAGCTACTGGCAGCGCCGCTGGAAAGTATTAGGTTCTGTATGCACAGAGACACATTTGGATTTCTATTTCTTGTCGTGGTCCCGGCTCTCCATAGGGCTACTATCAAAGCGCCGCCGCCGCTGACATGGACTTGGACGAGCTCCGGCTGTCCTCACACGCTCTGATTCTTTTCTTTTCTCCCTTCCAGCTCCAGCTGCTCTCGTTTTAACGCTCGGCTCTTCGCTGTCAGCGTCTTACGATCCCAAACGCATTCTTTGTCCGTGTGCTGTTTCCCCTCTTTGTGGTGTTTTGTCGAGCTATTAAAAGTGTTTATCTGTAATACGACTGAGTTTTGTGTGTTTTATTTAAATGCATCACAGCATAATGGAGGTAAACATTGGTCTGTGTGAATGCAGTGAGTTCCAGGAGTCCACAGGTGGAGCTGTTGCACTGATCAAACAGGACTTGTCAACCTGAAAACACACCAGAGAAGCTGCTGAGGTTGGTGAAGAACCAAAGCTTTGAGCTGCCGACTGAAACTTGGGTTAAATCAATTCATCAGATGCACAAATCAGCAAGAACCTGTCAGCAAGAGAGCAAAACAAAAGCACATTTCAGCTCGTGTTTTGACGTTTTCTTCAGTAATTCCCTCTTGTGTTTTTTCCTCTCGTCTGTAATTTCAGCGTTCAACAGAAACAAATGAGAGTCTGAAGCGGTTCTGTGTGTTTCACATCAACGTAATCGTCACGCCGTGTGCGACAAGTGGATTCATTCGTCCTGAAACCGAGCTGCGGGGATTTGCCGAGCGCAGAAAACCGCAGTCGGACTGTGACTTGAATTAGAAGTGAGGCTAAACGGGCCAGACTTCCATTCAGTGATAATCGCGGCCAGATGTTGTGTTTCTGCCTCTGGATCAACATCACGGTCGTCGTCGTCGCTGCGTATTTAAATTTATGTCTTTCCCTCGTGGTGCTGATCGACCAGCTGAGCTCATCGCTTTGATTCTAGAGGATGACGTTCTCCCTGCTGTGTGTGTGCAGACCGTGTTCTGACCCGTTCACCTTCTGCACTCCTGATGTTTAGATTTTATGTTAAATGGTGTGAAATCGCTGGTTTATCTTTTGCTCTGCAGCTCCGTCCTCTTTGCACGAATCATCCGTGAGTTTGCAAACTAACTTCACAGAACATAGTTTTGCGTGTCGGTTTCTGGACCAAACTTGAGTCCAAGAACTCTGCAGGTCTCGGTGTTAAACCACTAATGAGGCAGAATTTAGTGTGAAGCTATAAAACCATTTCTGAAGCGTTCCAGGAGCACAGCGGCTTCAGGAGCTTTGAAAAACAAAGCCTGGAACAAGCAGGACTCTTTTTATGGAGTTGGCTGTCAGGGAGGAGACCAGGAACCCAAATCGTGGCTTTGTTAGTCGTCTTTAGAGTCTGAGAACCTGCTGCGACCTTTTCAGCAGGCCGCCCAGGCCTTGATGGCAGCAGCTGGGTGAAGCCGTCTAGAGTTTGTCAGGCTGCATTTCAAACTGATGAGACACAAGCTGAATTCTTTGAACTCGAAGCGCTACCTGTGTTTGACACCAAAGCACGGCGGCGGCAGCATCATGCACCATGCAGTGAAGGGGACAGAACAGCACCTGAAGATGGAAGTTCAAATCTGATCAGGAACGAATGAGATGAACGGTCCAGATGTAGCTGTGCAAAGCCTAAAGAGACGAGTTGTTTTGCTTTTATTTTGGAGAATTTTCGACTAAACGGCTGCTTGAATCATCAAAGTAATGATCAAAGAGAAGCTTCTGTAGTCTGATGAGTTATAATCACACATGGACAAAACTTTCAGAGCTGAACTCATGAACAAATGATGAATGTTTTGAATCGTCACCCCGGTAACAGAAGTGCTAGCTGTACCCCTATCAGCCTGTACACGCCAGATATTTAATCTAGATTAGTAACACTCACTGTAAATGAAGAAGCCAAAGCATGTCAATGTGTGGTTTATGCATCCTGTGTGGACAGTTTTTATCTTCTGTCCTTCAACAGCAAAATGAGGTTTGTGAGATTCTGTTGTGGGTTTTCGTGCCACACTGAGATTTCCTGGTGTAGAGACCTAAAGAGAAGGGCTCAAGTCTGCAGCTCCTGCCTCAGAACCACCGAATTAAAGGTCCAAATACTAAACGTGAAAGAGAAACTCCAGTTCATGACATGTTTCCTCCTTGTCCTTATAACGGTGTCGGTCTTTCTGAGGCCAACAAGTTCTAGACAATGGAAGGACCATTTTTTTAACCAACGTTTGCTTCATGGATCATCTATAGACATGAATCCTTTTCCAGGATTTCAAGTCATTCTGGGGAAGCTCTGGTCATTTTGGACAAAGTTAGAATCGTTTAGGACAATTTTAGAGTCATTTTTTAAAAGGTTTGAGTCACTTTAAACATTTTTTGGAAACGTTTTAAACAGTTTTGGGCACATTTAGGGTCATTCTGGACAGGGGTAACTCTACAAAGTGCATTCTGGGTAAACTGTCCAGGCTCATATCAGCATGTGTGATGGTGGTTGGTCAGAACCAGTTCTAGACAATGGAAGGACCATTTTACCTACATTTGATACCAGCTGATCATCTGCTAGATGTGAATCCTTTTCTTGGATTTCCAGTCATTTTGGGGAAGCTTGTGTCATTTTGAACAATATTAGAATCGTTTAGGAGCAGTTTTGAATTGTTCTGGACAATTTTAGAGTCATTTTGGAAAAGTTTCAAGACCTTCTGGACGTCACATATGAGCATGTATGATGATAATGAAAGGATCATTAGACACCAGCTGATCATCTACAGACATGAATCATTTTCTTGGATTTCAAGTCGTTTTGGGGAAACTTTGTCATTTTGGACAAGTTTTGAGTCATTTTAGACATTTTCTAAAAGGTTTCATGACCTTTTGGACACGTTTTGAATCATTCTGGAGACATTTAGGGTCATTCTGGACAGGGGGAACTCTACAAGTGCATTCTGGGTAAACTGTCCAGGCTCATATCAGCATGTGTGATGGTGGTGGAATCATGGATCATCTTCTGAACACGATTCACTCTGTGGCTAAATGATTTCCTATTAAAGGCATTTTTTGACACTGAAACCAGATTTCGTCTTTAGATTGTGACGCCTGGAAACTGATTTGGTTTCAGTTTTTAACAGAACTTCAATGTGTTTTCAGCCTGAGTCAGTACATCTGTGTGAAAGTGTGAAATACGAACCTGACCTGTGCACTTCAAGGCTCTATAACTTCTCAAAATATTCGTAAAATGAAGGTAGAACCGTGTCAGTGATTGTGCTGAAGCTGCTGCGGCGGTCAGGTGGGAGGCCCGGATTGATTGATTGATTTTTTTATGGAACAAGCCGGCAGTCGGCGAACAACAATAATCTTTTTCCATTAGCACGCTGTCCCTGTTACATCAATAATCGGTTATACGTTGCGTGTGCGAGCCGCACGCCGACAGATTTATGTCATGGAAACAGCCGCCTGCATTTAGACGAGGCGCGTGGTGACAACGTGAAGGACAACAGAGGAAGGAGCTGAAACAAAGAGAGTTAAAAGTGAAGACGAGCCGGCTGCCTCTCCACACGACACGGCCAAACATAGGTTCTGGTGGCAGACATGCAGACGGGCAGGAGACGGCTATACGTTTTCACCCGGCTGCCCTTTCGCTGCCCCGTTCGTGAGCTGCGTCCTGCTGAAATGCTTGTGCCGCCTTAATTCTTCACACCGCGCAAAATACACACCGCCGTGTCGCCAATATCTCCACAAATAGTCCCGTCACAGCAGCAGCAGCAGCAGCAGCAGCATCACTCGCCACCCGGAGGCCCAACGT